TGTTCACCACTTACGACACCGAGTATTGTAGCTAAACGATTAGATTTTTACAAATTGTAAGTTTTGGGTTCGTTGAAGGACTATTAGAGCTACAATTTAACAATATTTTTACAAGATACAGAGTGTCCCAAATAAATAAAAAATATCAAAGTTGTATTCTATGATTAAAATAAAGGTAAATTTGATTAAGGTTTATCACCCTTAAACCTTAGTGTTTTTGAAATATTTTCAATTTTGTAAAATTGCAGTAAAAATTTTAAGGCTTCATTCCTCCAAGGGTATCAAAGTTTTTAATACTAAATATTTACTAAAGTTTAATTATTGATCAGTTATTGTGTTGCAATAATAAAAATAATGCTACCTCATACAGAGTGTCTAAAAATTTATTTTAAATAATTTCTAGCTTTAAACGGCAATAACTTGGTTAATTTAAATAGAACACCCTATATATTTTACGTCAATCAGATGCACAATTTAATTGTCTATCAAATCGTTTTATACCATTTTTTACCTATCTCTTTAAGTTTTCGTAGAAAATGCATATTTTCTTATAATTTAGACTTCATTTATCACTATACTCATGGAATATTGATATTTTAGATTTTCTTTTGCAAAATGTACAGGTAGTAAAAATAATAATATTGCTGCAATTAAGATACTAAAAATTTTAGTATCTCTTTCTAAATGAAAAAGGAAAGCTTCCATATATCAATTATACAAGATACACCTAGATGGCAAAATGATTTTTAAATTCCTTGCTTTATTAACGTACTCCACAGGGTGTGGACACCAAAAATTACTAAAAAGTCAAATAATTTAGCTACAAATTGCTTAAAACATTCACAGCCAAACAATACCCTTAATGATTGTGAAATTCACGCCTCACTATATAAAACTAAGGGGAGAATCTTTAGCATTCCACAGAGGTCGTTTTCAGGCCATCTAAATTTCTGTATTTAATATGCCTTTAAAGACGGTTTTTGACAGGAAGAAATCGTTTGGCGAAAGATCCTGTGCTTTTTTCCTCTGTATCCCCAATAAACGGGAGTCAATGTTTTTTTATCTTCAACATGAAGAATGTTCAAGTCATTGTGGTTTTCTTCCTGTTCATTATGTTTGTCTTCACAGTTCTATGTCTTTAGTTTCATGCCTTTCCGGAGACTGAGCTGCGAACATATCTAACATGTATCTAACACAGCAGGGATACTATTTCCAGCAAAATGCCGTTTAACCATCATAATTTTTTCAGAAGTTGCGAAATTCATAATTATTTTATACAAAATTACTCTATTTGGTGTCTTCAAATTTTAGTAAACAAAATGTGACAATGACGTGACATCAAATTTGACAATGGCACAATCATATTTTTGCTGGTATTTTATTGTAGCTTTCTCTGGGCCTATTACAAATTTTACTAATTTGAAGGTAGATTTTTGCAAATAACTTTTAAACTTAAACTCTCGATCTTGTTCTGTCGCACCACTGGACTTCTGGACTAGTTTTCTTCCATGTCAAAAGAGAGACTTTGGGAAGGTCTTCTTGTGGTAAGAATGGCCATGGCAAGTGAGAAACAAAACATCGAGACAATTATATTTCTGTGTGAGATATAAGAGAGCTTTGTAAGAGAGAAATCTTTTTTGATATTTTTTCATTGTCATTGACTGTAATGGACAGAAACTACAAATAAAGCATAGCAAAGAGTGTATTTCTGGCATTACTTTTCATTATTCGGAACACGCTTTAGAGATTTTGGTATTGGTAAAGATTGGACACAAACGAAAGACAAAAATTTTGAAAAATAATTCTGGATTGGTCTCTTTCCAGAATGAAAAGGCATAATCTGGGTTCAGTAAATAATCCAGTGTGAGTCTTAACTAAATGGAAATATTTTCAAGTCTAGAAGTACTATATGATGACGTCAGCGATGGCTATGAAATGAAGATCGCTCTCATTTTATATGTAAATTATATGGGGAATGTCATCGATGTTCATTTCTAAGCCAACTAGACGCCGTTTTTTTCATCATACGTTATAATGATTTGCAGTCTTTTGGTAATAATAGAAACTAGAACATATACCAAACTAAGGACAAAAAGCAGAAAAGAAGTATATTTCTGGATAGTTTTCTGCCAGCTAATTGTTCAAAGTTCAGAAGCACAAGAAAGAAAAATGATAACTAGTATACCGGGTGCGTCTCAAATGTGGCTCACCCTTATAACTTTTTTATTTTTTCTGATAAAAAACGAGATATGGTATGTTAGTATAATATGACATAAATTAGGATTGATTGACGTATTCAATTGTTTTTGGTCACTTCCTGTTTCACCGGAAATTACTACAACTTTTGATTTTTAAATGGCACCCTCGGTATTTTTTACTTAATTCGATAGAAAATGACATCCAAAGTTATAAGGCTGTACCACTTTTGAGACGCACCCGGTATATCATACAAAAACTTCTTATATTAGTATAGACTCAAACTAATATAAAACTGAAAAAATATTATTTCAAAGTGTATTCCCGGACTGATTTTCTTCCAGGATAAAATATTAAAGAATGGACATGTCCATTCTTCGGGAATACAGATTTTAACTTTAGGACAGACTGAAACAAACGCAACCTAATGCTAAAATACCGAATAAAAAGTTCTGGATAGTTTTTGCCAGAAAACACTGCAAAATAGATATGGATAAATAATAATCGGGAAATATATATAGAGAACGCGTCTTTCTGGCATGCAACGCCGCCGTGACCTAGTTATGACTCAACTCACACCTACATGCAAACACCCAGTAATGTACAATAACTTGGCTCAAAGGACCATGGATTGGGAGACGGAACTATACCAAGAGCAATAGAGCCTATCTTCGTAGACGAAGCTTTTGCCGCAGTGATGATAGTGCATGCACAGAACAGATATAAATGTATCTGTTCTGTGGTACATGTACTTGTCAGGGCCTATTTTACCACTAGGCCCATAAGGCCCGGGCCTTGGGCCCGATGGTCTGGAGGGCCCGTTAAGGTTGTAAAATATTCATTGTTACATTGTGGTCCGTTAAAGGTTGTCAAAATATTCACCCAAACTAACAAGAGAAATTTTGAATTTTATTGGAAAAGAGGGCCCGAATTTTTGCTTGGGCCTTAGGACCCGACCAGATGAAAAATAGGCCCTGGTACTTGTGGAAGGTCTTGGTAGTGATAAGTGATAATGGTAGTGATAAGTGATAAGGAAACCATCAAGAGAGTGCATTGTTGGGCTCATTTGACTTATGAAAGACTTAATAACAATTGAAACATTTTTGAGACATTTTTGTATTACCATGACCTGCGACTGGAATAGAGACAAACTACAAATAAAATGCAGAAAAAAGAATATTTTGTTTTTTTTATCATCAAAACATCGAAAAAAAAATATCCTTGACAGATTGTCTTCCAGGACAAAAACAATACACAATTATTTTACTTCAACAAATCATAAGCAGAAAATAAAGAAACATTTCAGATATTTTTTGCTATTGGAGTACACTTTAACTGAAACAAAACACAAAACATCGAAGAAATGTATTTTCGGTCTGGTTTTTTTTCCAAGACAATAGGCACATGAGCTTAGTTCGATAAATAAAAAATATAGAGCGTTTTATGTCCTTTTAGCATTAGAAGAGATTAGAATGAACACCAAATTGGGCAAAAACGCAAGAAAAAATATATTACTAGATAGTTTTTACCTGGAAACATTTCAAAAGACACAAAAATAAATAATCATATATGCATGCAGTGTAAAATGTTTTGTTTTTAATACAGATTCAACTAACAGAAACTAGAGTCAGAACATTCTGAAAAGTATATTTCTGGATTGATTTCCTTCCCATACAAAAAATGTAATTATGGTTGAATAATTACTTTAATTACTCGCATAGATCCAAAAAAGAAACAAAATTAAAAAAAAATGTATTTCTGGATTAGTTTCAGTTCAAAAGACACACGAGCTTGGTTTGTGTGTTGTGAATGTTCTCTTGGTTATCAATAGGAGACTGTAACCTACCTCTTACTAGGAATAAAAAAAAGAAACAAAAAACGACCTATTTCTGGATAGATTTCTACTATGATGTAGTCCAAAAAGTACAAAAATAGATAAAATCACTTTGAATATTTTTTGTTATTGGTGTAGACTTGTAATAGACACAAAAAAGAAACAAAATATCAAAAAGTTGTTTTTCTGGATTGGTCTCGTTCCAGGTCAAAAGACAACACAATATTGGTTCGATAAATTGGAATCGTAGAACATTTTAGGGTTTTTTGGTTGTCAACAGTGACTGGAACATACATGTTACGAGAAAACGCAGAAAATAACATATTTCTGGATAGATTCTACGATAATGTTGTTCAAAACAAACAAAGATGGATAAGTAACAATTAACATAATATATTATAGAAAGTAAACTTTTTCTATTATATTATACTCTAGTTATCATAAAGTAGAGACAAAACAGAAAAAAATATTTCTGGACTGATGTCATTCCAAGAAAAATACACGATTCTTATTCGATAAATAATAACCAAAAAACATTATCAACCATTTGGAAATTGACAGAGTCTTTCAATGACATAAAACAATAACAAAATATTGAAGTTTATTTCTGGATTGGTTTTCTTCCAGAACAAAAGACACACAATTTTGGTTCGATAAATATTAATTGGAAGTGCAGAATAAAAGTTCTGACATCGGTATAGCCTGAAACAAACGCATTCAACGAGTAAAAAAGGGAAAAAAGTTTTATCTGGATAGTTTCTGCCAGGAAATATAGCAAAATAGACACGGATAAATAATATTCCGCTAGTGTTATAGAAAACGCGTCTTTTTGACAAGCGGCGCCGTGACCTAGTTGCGACACACCACACACTCACACACACGCACCCAGGGCGTACAATAACTCGGCTCGAAGGACTGCGGACCGAGGGATATGGGATATAGAAGGAGAGCACGGCGGCCTCGGACCTACCTTCGCAGACGAAGCCTTGTTGGATGAGGCCCCAGAGCATGTCGCCGCAGTGATGACAGTACGTGGGCTTGTGGAAGGTCTTCTTGTGGAAGGCATGGCCGTGGGCCACGAGCACGCCGCCGCCAGCCGCCGCCTGTTCGGCCGCCGCCGCGGCGCCGGAGCCCGCCATTTAGCGTCGGCCCCTCGCCAACAGCTCCTCGACGACGACGACGTTGCTGCCGCTGATTACGTGACGTTGACCTTCCTTCCGACGACGGACATGGTCTTGCGGCGGCCGCAACACTACATGCTCGCGACGATGTGGCATCGCTCAGCGCCGGGACGCCTTGGTGCTGCTTGGGGCGGCTCTGGCGACGAAGGGGAGCGCGGACGATCGCCACGACATCGCGTCTCGTTCGCTCGGTCTGCTGCTAGTGCCGCTGCTGCTTGTCGGTGCTGGTGGTGGCGCTGCGGACCGGAGGGGAGTCGGCGCGGAGGCGCGCGCAAAGGCGTCGCGGCGGTGGAGACGCGGGCGCCCCGTGTTGCCGGATTTACGGGAGCGATTGGGGAACGGGACGCGGCGGTCCGGATCGGGAGGTTGCGCGCTCAGCTTTCCCGTTGTTTGGTTTCCAGAAAGGTGCATTCGTTCTCTGTATCTATATGTCTACGGGGGTAGATCAATATGTATTCGGGTTAAACTTTAACTCTAACGTGTAGTCTGGCATACCGCTATGCCATTTTTTATGTTATAAGACAGTATAAACAAAAACAACTTCTTTTATCAGGTCAGGACAATTAGTCAAAAATTATTTAAAGCGCTATTACATAAACCTATTGCCCATCTGATACTCAGGTAATGCATATTTTTTCGAGCATTGAATTCATTCTGCTCTTTTATACAATACACATCAATAATGTGCCTTTTTTCATAACCTTGGTGGATATGGTTGTTCATATTTTCTGATAACTGAGACTGTCAGCGCAAAAACGGCCTAAACCCAATAAGTTTGTTTTGAGAAAACTTAGAATAAAGTTTAGTGATAATAACGCTACTAGTTTAATTTTCGAACAATATCTTGATATTTTTCTGCAAATATTTTTTGCAAAAATATATTTGCCTAAAGACCTAATGGACTAAAATTTAGACATAAGTATGTATATGTATAAAAAATGTGGATTACGCCGTTTTTCTTTATGAATTTGTTTGCAGAGCTAGTAGGTCAATATAATTGCATGAAAACTATTAATGAAGCAAATTTTGTAGATTAAAATTTTTATTTTTATTTAGATACAAAATTAATTTAATAAAATAAATATTATTCAGCTAAAATTTGCGAGTTTGTGGATTATGCCGTCTGTACCTAAAACTGTTCATTAAGCAAACAAACTTTTTAATTTTTTAAGTAAAATAACTAGGCTCTTTTGGACTCATTTGAAAAACAGAAAAGAGCAATATATTTCTTTTGTCGAAAACTGTTAGCTCTAAAAATAGAATTTGCGACCGAGAAAAATCAAAGATTTTTCTTGATTTAAGTAAGAACAATCTTCGGATTGTCACGGGGTTTTTAACAGGGTTTTATTCTCCTCAATAAACACCACAACAGATTGAAGCTAAAAAACAACGGCGAATGCAGATTCTGTAGGACAAATGTCGAAGCGAACACTTCATTGTTGAGTGCACCGAGACGACAACCATTCATGCCATAAATTTTGGTACGACTAATATCGAAGATGGTCTGTAAAACCGTTTAATGGATTTTGTCAACGCCCTGCGACTGTATCTATGATGAGATATAACTTAAGAAAGGGGACAAAGTAGGTATATAAGGTCGAGGTGATTAACTTTCCTCCTCCCATACAGGGTGGCCCATCGAAAACGTTCCGCATGGCATAACGACCAGAGTAATTTCTTTTTCAGAAAATTCAAAAACACGTCAATTTTGTTTGTGAGGGGGACAACTTTTGCCCCAAAAATCATTGCAAAATCTGCTGAGGTTTCATCCCCCAACTTTTTTCAAATGGGAAGGGGGGTCAAGTGGCGCGGCAATGAAAAGAGCTTTCTATTCTCTATATTTCCCCACTTCGTTTTTGAAAATCAGTCGAGTCATTGAGAAAATATGAAGGATTGAAATTTGAAAAGTTTATTTAAACATTTGTCAAAGTAAATGATAAGGATAAATTGCTTCGACCAATTTGCTGTTTTTTCTTATTATTTCTAGATGTTTACGCATTTTTTCACTTGTCACAAGGTTGAACGATCAGGTGCGGTAGTTGCTAGATAGCTGTTCTGTGACTTGTGCGTTGAAGTTCTTCTCAATATCGTTAAACTTCTTAACAATTATGGTGTACTCACTTGCAGAAAAAGTGGAAATAATCGAACTTTATTTTAATAATAATGAATGTATCGGGTTGCACACATATTCAATGAACGCTATCCTGACAAACACCTTTATGGTAAAATTGTTCGCGCGTTAGTAGCAAAATTTCGCAAAACTGGTTCCGTTATGAATAAAAAGAGGCAGAGAGAAAATCCTGTAGTAAATGAAGCTATGGAGGTATTCGTATTGGGCCAAGATGCCATGGGTAGTACGCTGAGTACAAGAAAATTAGCCAATGAGACCGGGGTGAATCGTACAAGTGTCCAAAGGATATTAAAAAAAAACACAAGTTCTACCCGTACAAAATTCAGTTGGTACAAGAACTCAACGAAGACGATTTTGATTCGTCGCTTGCAATTTTGTGAAACTATGAGTTAAACGAGTGGCGAATGATAATAATTTCCTATTTAATGTGGGTTTTTCGGATGAGTGTACTTTCTTTTTGAACGGTGTAGTTAATCGGCACAACTGTCAGTACTGGGCTAAGGACAACCTCAGGGATTTTCACGAGGTGCACACACAAAACCCTCAGAAATTGAACGTGTGGGCTGGTATTTTTGGAAATTCTATTGTAGGTCAGTTTAACGATATTGAGAAGAACTTCAACGCACAAGTCACAGAACAGCTATCTAGCACCTGATCGTTCAACCACCGCACCTGATCGTTCAACCTTGAGGCAAGTGAAAAAATGCGTAAACATCTAGAAACAATAAGAAAAAACAGCAAATAAATGTTTAAATAAACTTTTCAAATTTCAATCCTTCATATTTTCTCAATGACTCGACCGATTTTCAAAAACGAAGCGGGGAAATATAAAGAATAGAAAGCTCTGTTCATTGCGGCACCACTTGACCCCCCTTCCCATTTGAAAAAAGTTGGGGGATTAGAGGGTTGAAGATTTTGCAATCATTTTTGGGGCAAAAGTTGTCCCCCTTACAAACAAAATTGACGTGTTTTAGGATTTTTTGAAAAAAAGAATACCCTGGCCGTTATGCCTTCCGGAACGTTTTCGATGGGTCACCCTGTATAACTTTTACATCTACGTCTAGCCCTGAAAATATTTCCATTTAGTTAACTCACCCTCGAAGACTCTAACGCACTGTTGCAGAACAATTTATTTGTTTCTTGCATTAATAAAAAAAAATGTCTTTATTATTTATATTTAAGCAAATCGGACTAATATAAATAAAAAAGCATGTATGTATTTATTTTAATATCATCTTCTTTATAAGAAATAAAAAATTATAATATATTTTTCTAACGTGCCTTTAAAACAACAATTGGTCCATAATATAGAATTAAATATTCACTTCCTACTTTCGAGACAAACTCACAACGCAGCTTTAATTTTCATAAAATTCTAAATGCACTATTAGCGGCATCTGGAAACCATTTGAGCACTAAATCGCTTAGAGCGTGAAAATTCCTACTATGCTAAATTAGAAATTGATTTTATTTAGCTTATGATTTTAATCAATCTGAAAAAAAGTTTGGCCGATGCCGGATGCCGGTGGTTTGACTGACGATAAGCATTCTTATCAGTACCACATTTTAGAAACACGTAATTTTTATTTATATGTTATTTTTATATTAAGTAAAATAATTATTAAATAAAACAAAAAATTAAATGTACCTATTCCCTAATTGATAAATTATATTTTATAACTTAATAATTAATAATTTTCTAAAAAATATACAGGGTAAGTCTTAATTAAGTGCAAATATTTTTAGCCAAAAAAAATACGCCAAAAACACGTGATTTTTCTCTTTAAAAAAATTGAAAATTGGGTATTTTTCAAAAAAAAATGAATCTTTATTAATTTTTACTTAAAAAAACATAATATCTCTATATAGTGGCAACAAAAAAGAAAACCCCTAAAGAAATCAATGGTTCTCAAAATATTAGCAAAAAATCATTTTTTTTAATTTTCCAAATAAAATTGGCTTTTTTGGACTTATTTGAAAAGCGGCAATGAAAAAACATGTATCTTTATCTTAGATCTACCAGCCCTGAAAATATCTGCACTTATTTAAGACCCACCCTCAAAAAAAATATTGGGTAAAAATTATTTTTGTGATCTTTTTGGCGTCTAAAAGTTTCTTTTTTAAAATTAAATATTAATTCTTGATAAGTTATTATGCCCCCGATTTGAATTAAATCAAAGAATATACCAAGTAATAAATAAAATGAGTCATTTTAAAGGCCACTGGGAAGCCAATTTTTATTAAATCATTATATGCTCTACCTTCTTTTTATTTTTTCCTTAGGTAGTATTGGTTTGCTTTATGCGCATTTAATAGCTAGATATACCGTATGATCGAACAAAAACGACGTCCATTTGGCTTGGAAATCGATGAACGATCGATGACATTCTCCATGTAAATTTAATGTAAAATGACAGCGATCTTCATTTCACAGCCATCGCTGACGCCGTTTTTTTATACGTTCCGTTCGATTATACGATACTAAAAAAAGTACAGGTACCAGGTACCAAGAAGTGCCGATTCTACAAGTTGGTCACTCGTTTGAATTGGTTCACTTACATAAGCGGTTTAATTAATTCTACAAGGTGTTTCAAAAAACATGTGGTTGGTTCACAAAAGCAACTGATTACACTTTTAAAAATGTCTTTATTTTCAGTAATCACCTTTTGTCTGGAGTTACATAAAATATATAATTATTTATATTAAGTAAAATAAAAAAAAATGTCATATATTTCAATACTTAAGTAGTTGCATTATTTTGCGTTAAATAAAATAAAAACTTAATACTTAAAGAACCTTATAACTGATAATAAGAAAATAAAGGTCTTCTTAACCTAGTCCATGGTCATCAAAGAATCCTTGTGGTGTCTCCTCCTAAAATAGAGAAATATATATATTAAAACACTGAAAGAAGAAAAAACTTTGCTATAATAGAAGATAAATATCCATTCGAAACTTTTTGAATGTTTAGAATGCGCACTATGTGAAGAAAACTAAAAAATAATGTTTACATCATTATTTCGTTTTTGTGAAGTTTTCAACTTCAAGAAGAATAATTAAATAGAAATTAATCATTTCAGGCTCTTTTGGCTTTAAAATCTTATACATACAGGGTGACCCACTTAAGATGGATACAAGCCAATATCTTGATTGTTTGTTGAACGATCTTTTTCATTTTTGGCAGGAGGCTGTATGGCTATAAGACGTACATTTTGCCCAGGGTAAAAAATGCGATACCTTATAGACGTACGTTTTAATGGGGTTTGATATTTTTCGACTCAAGAATAAACTACCCTTAGGACAGTATTTATTTCAAATCTGATAAATTATATTGAATCCTCCTTACCTAAGATACTTAAGTTCTAATTTTGATAAATATTGATAGTAGGGTGCGTCAATATCAATATTGATAGTGGGATAGTCAGGGTGCGTCATTAAAATAAGACATTTTTATTTTTATTATTATTTTTTTAAGTACATACGTGGCGTAAGTATCTTAGGTAAGGAGGATTCAATATAATTTATCAGATTTGAAATAAATACTGTCCTAAGGGTAGTTTACTCTTGACTCGAAAAATATCAAACCCCATTAAATGTACGTCTATGAGGTATCGCATTTCTTACCCTGGGCAAATTGTACGTCTTATAGCCATACAACCTCCTGCCAAAAATGAAAAAGATCGCTCAACAAACAACCAAGATATTGGCTTGTATCCATCTTAAGTGGAACACCCTGTATAATAGTTGGAATGAAATACTTTCAAAAATTATCCAGTGATGATGAACTCGACATTTCTTTTTCTCCTGCTATAATTTCTATATGGTTTCCAGTACCAATGAAAGGCGTATTTTTATTTGAAGCCCTTAGTATATTTATTTAACTTTAAAACACTTTCGACTCATCACGATTTTCTATTTTTTTCTCCCTATAGAAGATTTTTTTAGGGATACTCCGTATATACGTTATAAAAAAGAATATGTGCCTTTTTGCATATATTATTTAATAACTGTGTTAACTACTATAACTAACTTTATTAATAAGAGAAATAAATACATATCCCCTTATTAGAAGGCGAACTCATACTCAACATACTGACAAACACTATTCATTATTGATTACAACAGTATAAAAATATAGAAATACAATATATAGTACCTACGATCGAAAAAAAACGGCGTCAAAGACGACTGGGGAATGACAATTGATGATCATTTTGGCGAGGTCAAGCCCATCATTTACTGGGCCTGTACTATTCTTTATTTTTAATGCCGGTTACTGCCATTTGATCTTCAGAAGGATATAATTTATTTTTATACTGAGTAAAAATGATTTTTCAATGCTATAGTTTAAAATTCGAGAAAACAATTTTTTTTGGAAATAGGTTTGTGTGCCTGGAAACGGTCTGTGCTTTTATAATCTTTGTATAATTAGTGTTAATTTTTGACAAGATTTATGTAAATTTTTGTACATGACGTCTAAAGATTGGCCTCGCCAAAATTATCATCGATCGTCATTTTCCAACCGTCTTTGACGCCGTATTTTTTTCGATCATACGGTACTCCCCAAGTAGTACTCTTACTTTATCCTATTTGCAAAAATTTTATTGTATAATTTTACAAATTAAATAGAGTTGGGACACCCTTTCATGTTTGCTAAGATAAAAAATGGGCTACTGATTAAAATTCCTTATCTCCTTTACATGTGTGTTATGGTTTTGTTAAGTTCATGTACAATGCATATCCTATGATACGAAATAAAAACGACGTCGATTTGTCTTGCAAATCACGATTGTTGATATTTCCCATTGTTTTTTTTCTTCTATGAAAAATATCACTGTCACAAAATTAACCAGTGTGGAAAGGCTGGATTTTCTGGTTTGTATAGTTTGTCCAATGAGGGAAGATTTCGACAGACGACATCCAAAAAATGACAAATTACAATATTCCTGTGAAATAAAATGACAGATTAACTGTCATTGTCAGGGATGCTCCCGTTGGACAGACTATATGCCACTCATCATTCAATATCATTTGTGTTGCAGAAAAAAACCGCCTGACGAGTTTCACAGTTCTTTTCAAAGTATTTTTCAATATCAAACCATTGAAATAAACTCTAATGCATAGACAGCATGAAATAAAAAATATTAGAACTTGAAAAACGTTCATTTGACATTTATAGTATTTTACCAAATTATTCTGTATTTAACTGATATTTTTCAGGTTACCTAGTTTTGTAATGTTATATCAATACAACATTAATATAGACAACTTATGGCTTTTGTTATAACAAAAACTTACAAAAGTGACTTTTTTATGTTCTAAGCATCTACTTTATCATTTAAAAACCATGTAAAATGCACTTTTATTGGGAATACCTTGTATATTTATTACAATAATAAACCTCAAAAGTTTGTCTCCTAAAGAGTTATTTTTGGCACACTCTACATTTCTTAGAATTAACAAAAAAAATAACTAATTAAAATCTGATATTTTAACCGTTTTCTATTAACATAATATTTTATCTGTGGATTGTGTATTTTTTAGGGACACTTTGTATTATTGTTTAGTATAAACGTTTTAAACAATTACTTCATAACATTTCACTTTCTTACAAATACTATCACAAGTTTTATAACAAGAAATAATTTACAATAATTACAAATATTACTTCCTTTGAAAAACATTTTTGTACAACACAAAAAAATGTCCAAACACATAAATCAAACAAGTATAGTCTGCCCAAATAGTATGACAGTTGTATGTTATTTAAATTAAAAAGTAGATAATTTTTCTGTTATTTTTAGATGTCATCTATGAAAATACATATTCTCCCGCAGGAAAGACTATAGATAATTTGATTCATACATTTATGTACAGATATAACTAATATAATATTATAGCAACTAACAGCATTAATGTAACATATAGACAAATAATATTATTTATTAGTAACAAAATTACATCATGCCCTGCTTTTATCAAGCCAATCCAAACCCAAATTAGTCCATAACCCACAAACATATCTAAATTAAGACTATTTACATATATAACATTTAATTTTAAACCAATAAACTAAACATGTATAACCAATTTGTCATTATTATTATCTACAATACTTGTTAATATATTTACTACATTTACAAATTAAAATAACTTGTATTTCTGTATATATTATTTATTTTGAATGTATTGGTTAATTACAGTTTTTTAGGAACAATACCTGAAATATATATCACTATAACAAATCAAATTGTTTAAAATAGATTTTTGGAAACTAAAAGACTAGAAGGAATACAATATAAGGCAAGAAAATATAAAATAATTTTGAAAACTATTTTTTGATGCATTATACATAAATTAAATAAAAAAACAATCTATGTATTAATATTAAAAATTATCATCTTATCTTTAAATATTTGAATTAACAAAACAAAAATGCCTTTTTAAAAATCTCAGCATAAAAACAGTGTTTGAAATTCAAATATCTAAAAAATATTTTAAAAATACAACCTTGATAACAAAATATTTATAAAAATCTAGACAATATCTAAAATATATTTCCAAGAACAATAAAAATACTAGAAACTAAAACAGTTCTTTTTTAAATTAGTAGGTACTTTTATTGTAAGTTTTAATAGTGATAATTAAAATATTCATAAAAACAGTGTTAAAAAATATTTATAACTGTTTATCACTATTTTATAACATTTAGAAAGTCTACTACTGTTAATAAATTCATGCTGTGTGCATTTATGTTAAAGAATCACATTTTAATTGTTAATTTGACTATAAATAAGGAGTTGTTAATATACCTCTCATTATCTAGAGTAACTACTGGAGAATTTGTATGTATATTAACAATACCTCAGTCAAATTTCAACGTTATTGTCACTAACCTCTTGTAAGAGATCCTGAGCAGCTATTGCTTTCAATACATTCTTCTTACTGGTTTCCTGAATCTCCCCACCTAACATTAATTCATCCAAAATAAAATAGGCCTTCTCAAAGTTAAAAATTATATCCAACTCGCACACCTAAATGTACAAAAATGAGTTTTTATGTTTTCATTATATTTGCATCAAACTTACACTTCCAAAATACTTATCAAGCAACTCAACATATCTATGTATAACTTCCAAAGTTAACAGTTCATTATCATCCTGTTCTATTGCACAACAGAAATACAAACTTGCATATCTAGAAAATATTTGTTTAAACGAAAGTCTTTAAGAAAAATAAAGTATTAATACTTTACCTTTTATAGACAATTTTGAGGTCCCTCCATTCAAGAAAACTGCACATCTTTGGTTTTCGAGCTAATATTGTGGTAATCAGCTCTCTCGTGATTTTCTTTTTTAATTTGTCTGGATGGGCGACGTACCATTTTTGTAAACGAAGCTTGCCTTGTCGGCTAAACAGCAACATAAATTGCATCTAAAAACAATAAAAATAATGATATTTATACGTAAAAAGTAATAAATTAGTAGGACGTACCATATTGCTCAAAATACTTCTAAGTAATTTCTTTTAAATTAACATTTTCAGCTAAAAAAAAAATAACTCAATTCACTTACAACGTCAACAAAAATGGGTCATGTAAAATTGTAATGTAGAATGTGAAGTTAGGTACAAAAATGTCAACGAACGAAAATTATTTTCCATAATAAGGAAAATAGTATTTTAAAACGAATTTTACCCAGATTTTATCTAAAACGTTTTAATCAGAATGTTGTCTGTAGTCTGTAGGTACATAAAATATTATTTTTTTATTAAATTCTAAAAAAATATTTTCAATGATTTAAAATTAAGGCAACCAGTAAATCTTTTGATGGCTGACTTCACACCGAAAATATTTTTTTGACATGTTCTTGTTTATCTGTCATCTGTCATAGCAAATTTAACCTTACTTTTATATGTTAGAGAAAATTGTGTGGAAATTAATATAATTTTTATGCATTATGAGTGTTATAAAACGAGAAAACTCTGATACCAACGATAATAATGCAAGCACTACGCCAGAGATAAATAAATCTTCCATGGAAATATTATCCGAACTATTTAGCACGTTTGATGCCGAGTTTCCTGTTATTGTTAAGGAAGAAAAGAAGGATAAAACCGAGGAGGGTCATAAGAAAAGTAAAAAAAGCAAAAAGAAACACAAACATAAAGATAAGAAACATAAAAAGAAGAGCAAGAAGCGTAAAAGATCCAGCAGTGCTTCAAGTTCTTCAGATAGTTCGGAAGTTGATTTAGCTCAGATACTGATCAAAGAAGAAAAAGATAAAGCAGATAAAAGAATTAAAATTGAAGGAACGTCTATCTCTTTAGGTAAGTTAGTTTATAACTAAAGTATCTCATCCTGTATATACTGAATTAGATTTAATGTAATAAGGAAATATGAGTTTTTGACGGAACTATTTTGAAAAGCTTCAAGTTTATTTGATAATTAGTAATAAGATTGAGATAATGAATATATAATTCTGTATATGTATATGTACATATCTATTTTAGAAATTCCAAATCGCATTGCTGAACTAAAATCTAAATTAAAAAATATCAAAGACAAATTGGCAGTTAAAGAAGAAGCCAACAAAGATGAAATTAAGTACGAAGAGGGTGAGGTATCTGATTTGGAAGCCTCAAACACGGAATACAAAGCAAAAGAAATAAAGAAAGAATCCAAGCATGGAATTATAAAAAAGGAAATTACTAAACTGAAAACTGAAGTAAAGAAAGAGACATCTTCAGAAAAGAAGGAAAAAATCAAGTATGAAGATGGTGAAATAACTGATTCGGAAGGTTCAAAGAAGGAATACAAAAGCAAAGAGAAAAAGAAAGAGTCTAAGTCGAAGAAACGCAGTCATTCCAGTAGAGACAGAAGCCCGAGTAAAGAAAAGGAGTTAAGAAAAGATGATTTGAGACATAAAGTGAGAAAACACAGTTCAAGTGATTCACATAGAAGTAGAAGGCATGACAGAGATAGAGACTCACATAATACTGAAGATTTACATAAGCATAGAGACAGGTAAAGTGGAAATATAATTTATTTTTGCAGATTTTTATGTAAAAATATACAGGGTGGTCCAGTGTTTTAAAAAGCAAGAAATGTTTTGCCTAGCTTATGATATTTTAAGCTGATTGATGAGTCACTAGAAAGAAAATATGTTTATAGAATTGTACTGCAGGTTTTCTTTGGGTTTTAACATTGGAAATGTTTATGTTCGTATATGGAGGCTAAATTTCAAGTTTAATCAAATTAAAGCATCGAAACTTTGTCGCGTGATGCCAAATTAAGGTGAACTGGCCTGACAGTACGAAACTCTCGGCGATATACGAGGTTTAATTTTGTTAGACCCGACGATATCACTTAACGACTATGCTACGGGGGCGATTATAAAATTGAATAGATTGATATTGATATTTGCAAAGGTTACAAAACAGTACTATTTTCCTAATTTTTGATTTGGGTTTTGAAAATTATTTATGTTGTTTGTAATGAAACGATATTTTTATTTAGGTGTTGATATATTTCAGAAAGGATTTAAGGATTAAAATATATAATATATTTACTTAATTTCAAGGTATCTGCATGAAAAATCAAGGCTATTTTTATAAAATAGATTATCAATATTTAAATATTTAAATTAACCTAAAGTAAAACAAAATAACAATTTGAACTACCCTTTATTAATTATTGTTTTTTTTAATTATGTTTATTTTTTCTTCTAATCATTATTAGTTATTATTATTAAGAATGGTGTTTTTTATATCAAGTTTAAAAGTATGTTTGTAGATATACAGTAAGTATGTCCCGAGATTGTCTTTACAAGAGGAAAATCTTTTTTATTACTAACATTTTGAGAAAACTGCATTCTTCATAAAAACTTTTGCTTGTTCTAAAACAATTAATCGCGTTTACACTTTTCCAAATTTCCACACAATTTAGAGAAAAATAAAAAAATATGAAAATATTGTTGTCCTAAAATTTAAAACGCGTTTCTATGGCAATACCATTATTAGGTTTTTATTCTTTGATAGATGGTTATTATTAATTTTGATTAAAGTTATAGGTATTTTTGCTGTTTTAATATGTCAAAGAAGCCTAAAATTTATTTAGTTCTCATCATCTCAATCAAAGTGTTCAATGCTACGGAAAAGGTAATTATAAATTTTATGCATTTTAAAATAGCAAAATATATTACATTAATCATACTTAATAATAACAAAATTATATAAGGATTCTTGCCAATTAACTGCTAATATAGAAATTTAATTCTACGCTGTGTTTGTCATAATGCGGATCAACCTGCTCTCACTACCGGTTTCGGAGCCCTACTCCATCATCAGGTGAGCTTGGGCAGATCTACAAAATGACAACCACAGCGTAGAATTAAATTTCTATATTAGCAGTTAAGTGGCAAGAAGCCTTATATAATTTTATTATATACCTCTACTGCAAGAAATTTGTTTTCTATTTTATAATTTGGCTTGCCTGAAAAAAAGCCTTTTATCATCCTTTTATTATCGATAGTTGCGCCTCGGTGGTACGAAAGTACTACCATTGCACGCAGGCCGCTATCTCCCGTTCGGGACTTAATATCTAACCGATACTTTCCGACAACTCGGAATTAACTATCTCTGCGCTGTGGTTGTCATTTTGTGGATCTGCCCAAGCTCACCTGATGATGGAGTAGGGCTCCAAAACCGGTAGTGAGAGCAGGTTGATCCGCATTATGACAAACACAGCGTAGAATTAAATTTCTATATTAGCAGTTAAGTGGCAAGAATCCTTATATAATTTTATTATATACCTCTACTGCATGAAATTTGTTTTCTATTTCTTAATTATAACCATCTTACACCAAAAGGCTACTAATACACTTTTAAATTTCTTTGTTAAAGATTTTATTTAAAAGATAGTTTATGAAGAATGTATAAGTGTAAAGCTTGATTTTCATACATCCGTTATCCGACGATACATTGATACAATGTTAATTTTATTGAGTTTAAAGACTTTGATTGGTTAGAAAATTACGCAATTTTTAAATGTTTTGCATTTTCATGCCTCCATTCATCAGATATATAATCTGCTTGTGACTGGTGTCATTTTATATTTTCATTTCCATAACGATTTCGCTGTTTTACTTTGAGTCTAAGAGCTAGCAACGTTTTCGAGAGAGAATTTTCAGATAGTTCTTTAATCTTTTGCTATGCTCTCCTGAATAGAGTGCGGACCGTCTGGCTACCGGTAGACGTTGCGTTCCCTACTGCGCATCATCACAAATTCGCCCTGTATTTCAGGAACCAAGTAGGCTAGAACAAACATATGTGTAGCATGTTTAGTTTCATAAAAAAGTAGCAAAATAATGTGAAAATCGCATCATTGTATCTCTACTCATAAATGAGAAATCCCATAAAACATATGAAAATAGTATTCCCTGTACAGATGTGATGCGCAGTAGTGAATCGCAGTAGTCTATCGGCAGCCAGACGGCCCGCACTTTGGTTAGGAGAGCACAGGAGAGCATAGCACATGATAAATAAAAGTCTAAAATAAATATAGTATGACGCGCAATATGGCAGCTAATGTCAAGTTAAGAGACAACCTGTTTAATGTAATAACCTTGGGCTGTTACACTATAAAATTTCTTTGTGAAAGATTTTATATAAAAGATATTTTATGAAGAGTTTGATAGTGTTATACACAGATGTAATATGTGTGGTTTTATAAAATATTGTATATTTAACACTGTCAATTTTTATTTAAAGATCTTTATAGGATATATCAAAATTCCATTATAATTAGTGATGGGATAACTCGAGCGAAAATTCGCTTGAGTACTCGATTATTGAAATAACCGACATCGCTCGATTATGAACGAGCGATCCTAGAATGAAATAAATTGAAATCCGATTTTAATGGACCTACTCGATAAAAAGCCGAGCGAACTTTCTACATACATTGCAGGTAGCAAATTTATACGACGCCGCACGGTGGGGTATTAGCATGAAAAAGGTGATCGAAATTCGAAAAAGCAAATGTGTTTAAGATTTCCCAAAAAAAGATAAATGATAAGTTAAATCATCTCTGCCATGAATGGCATTGCTATGGGTGTGTTTAGTTGCATTCATTTGTTTCAACGAAACGTCAAAGTTGTTACTTCTCACAGATAAGAGGTAAATGGCTAAATTTTATGTTTAAAATTATAAATTGTTGTTGTTCTTGTGCTCTTTTTACGTTTATATTATCGTTTTGATTGAAAATGGTCAGCAAGCTGCAGGTATGTATTCTACAAAAACGTATTATTTATTTTGATATTCTCTATACTAACGATTTTTTTTGCAACTAAAAGTTAGGCGTTCAGAAAATTTGATTAAATTTGTGACATTTTTATTATACTTAGATATTTAGTTCCGCATTTCGAAGAATTCAGCATATTGTCTATATACGTTTTACTTAGTAAACATTGGGCTTTCATACAGTAAAATAAAATACTACGACTTTTTGCGACTTTGCTGATAAAATGAGAAAAACATTCTTGGTTTCCTCTAATTTGCCAATCAGTGATATACTAATGCGAGGTGTAAACCGCGATGGCATTGTTGAATACAAAGCGATCGCATTAGTGCCATTAGCAGTATAGCACAATTTGGCATTAGTTTAGTGGTATGGGCATTGCTCGTGGATCAGTCGTAGCATTAGTAGTAGTAGTTGCGATATTACTACTGGCACTGACCGTGGAAACACTGGAACAGTGATTTTTCTTTCTTTTTTTGGAATCGACGAATTATCCTTTATTTTGTTCATATTATTTCCTCTTTAATTGAAAATAGCAATAATTTATATAAGGTCTACATAAAAAAATTTCGATCAACTATCAGTGTCAAATACCCCACTGTGCGCCGTATATACCAGGTGCGTCTCAAAAGTGGCTCACCCCTATTACTTTTTTATTTTTTAGATAAAAAAATGAGATTTGGTATGTCAGTATATGACATAAATTAGGATTGATTGACGTATTCAATTGTTTTCTGTCACTTCCTGTTTCACCGGAAATTATTACAATTTTTGATTTTTAAACGGCACCCTCGGTATTTTTTCACTTTATTCGATAGAAAATGACATTCTAAATAGAATAACGTATCATATGTCAACTTTTGACATATTTGCTTAAAAACAAATTGTATTTTAAATTTCAATCTAGAGTGCCATGGCTGTGTTAAAAACACTAATTTTTAATCAAGGAGCCTTGGAAAAATAGATTTGATCGTCTAATGTTTTTAGTGTCTTGCCCTGGCCGGTTAAAAGATGCCCAAATCGTATTTTTGATCATATCTGAATTTTTTTCAAATGGAACGAGGGTGGATCATTAGCATATTTCGAAAAAGAATTTTTTACGAATAATTTGATACCACACGCTTGGTACTTCGAGTCAAATTGTCGTTATGAACCGCATGTTAAAATTTCAAATAAACCATATGCGAAAATGTCAAAAGTTGACATGTGATATGTCATTCTGTTCAGAGTGTCATTTTCTACCGAGGAAAGTAAAAAAATACCGAGGGTGCGATTTAAAAATCAAAAGTTGCAGTCATTTCCGGTGAAACCGGAAGTGACCGAAAACAATTGAATATGTCAATCAATCCTAATTTATGTGATATACTAACATACTAAATCTCGTTGTTTTATCTGAAAAAATAAAAAAAGTTATAGTGGTGATCCACTTTTGAGACGCACCCGGTATATTTATCCGTTGCGTATCTGAAAGACAAAATTTTACGACCGACATCGACAATGTTTCGAAATAAACTAAATCAGGCATCAGGCGATCAAGCGAATCGCTCGCCGCTTACTACTTGCCGTTCATTACCGAAAGGATATATTACTTATAACATGCGACGGACAAAAAACCGTATTTTTAAATACGAGCGATATTTCGCTCGAGTGATCACTCGGTTATTGCAATCGCTTGATACTCGAGTACTCGATTATTGAAATTAGTCGGTTTTTCCCATCACTAATTATAATACCGTATGATCGAATAAGAACGGCGTCAGCGATGGCTATGAAATCGATGTCATTTTATATGTAAAATTATATGGGAAATGTCATTGATCGTCATTTCCAAACCAACTGGACGTCGTTTTTTTTTTCGATCATACACTTACACCATGTAAATTTTAAAATTACAGGCATAAGAGTTCCTACAGAGACAAAAGTTATGATACTTATGAATCAAGAAGTAGACATAGGGAAGAGTATAAAGATGATGGTTTTTATAGACATAGAGACAAGGAAAGGTCAAAAGATTCAGACAGAGTTAGTAAAAGTGACAAGTGGTTTATGAGGGAAAGGTAAGTTTTTACTCAATTTCTTTTCCATGCTAATATCCAATACAATGTTTCCAATTTTAACAATTCTTTATTTCTATATAAATTTTTATTTTAAGGTATAGAGGTTATAGTCGTGACAGATCAAGAATCAGAGATAATGAAGAGTCATCGTCGTCGTCGCGCATCGACAAGAAAAAGCTCTTGGAAATAGCGCGTAGAAATGCCATTACCATGATGAAGTCTGGCAGTGTTCCCGGTGCCCAAAATTTGGGTTCAATAGCTCAGGAAAAAATGATAGCTGCTATCAAGTCTGGCGGCAAAACGATAGAAGAACTCACTGATTTCTGTAAGAGCCTGTCAAAGAAAGAGCAGTTGGGGGAACTGTCAAGTTTGTCTGAGAAAGAGGATAGTGACAATGACGAGCCCTTCCATCATCCGTTTTTGATTAAAGACAGACCTACGAGTATAACTATGAATATTAAGGTTAGATCATAGATGAAATACTAATTTTTATTTTTACAATTTCTATTTGAAAAATAATTTATGATAACTTTTCTATGGTTAATGCAGTGGCGGCTCGTGGTTATTTTTGTAGGGAGGTCAATATCTAAAAATATTGCGTCGATTTTTTTTTAAGACGTGATCAAATTTAATTGGTTTTTTACAAGGTACTTGTAAGTTTAAAGGAAAATAAATCTAAAAATAAATACAAATTATGTTAAAATGAAACCTTTTTAAACAGGTGGTCTATTGCCATTTCACTAAAAATCCAGTCAATGTTCTTTACACAAATTTTCCATGGTAGGATTTAAAAGACACTTAAATAATAATGTCACAAAAATATAAATACATATATACACATACACGTTTCAAAAAGTTTTATTTCACATTTTTTTTATATTTTAAGTCAATTCTTTCTGTAAACGTTTTTCGAAATTTAAGCAATTGTTTTCTTTTAACGGCACGTTTTTTGCAAACTAAACACCATATGTTGTCTATTTGAAAATATCTATTCCAGAATCAGTCAACAAGAGTTCATTATTTAGAACCACAAAATTATGAATTATTACCTACAAATTTCTCGCTGTATCTCAAACCCAAGACAAAGCTACGGCAACTAAAACTAATTTTTTTTTGATATTAAAAATTTAAATATTGATTTATATTGACCAAACCAAACAGTAAACGCGATAAACGATACAAAAACCTAGGTAGTTTTATAATTTGAGTTTTTATATACACCCCAAACTACCCAAACGGCGAAATTTTTCCAGCGATATGACTGAAATCCTGTAATATATTTATATAGAAATAATGCACTCGATATTTCCTAATCAGCTATATTGATTCTCAACTAATAAACAATATTAACACGCTCATTTCTAGACATAGACTAAAACTACCAAATACAAGTGTATATATAAAGTTGCCTACCTTACAAATCCTTTTATGAATTGCGCGGTCAACGGCCAATATAAACTATATCTATCGCACCTTAACCCATTATATTTTCTATACGTAGTAGCTTTGAATACGGAGCATATCAGAAATCTTAGGTCCACCGCGATGGGACTCAAATATGGCCGACTTAAATTCCGGTTTATCAGTGCCGTTCTAATTTTATTTAAAAAATGTAAAACTATGATCTAGGGTAGACGTGGGGTAGACTCAATAATTTTGTTTTTTATTTAACGTTGTGAATAAATGTTGGTAGTTATTAAAATTGTTATAAAAACATATTATTATAATAAAAATAGATAAGTTTTAATAATTACTTATTAACACAAACATCCGATACGCTACTGAAGCAGGTAAGTCAAATTGACGTATCTAAATTCTTTGACATCTAATCTTTGACAAGTAGTAAATAAATGCAAAAATGCAAGAAAAAATATATAATTAATTAATTTAAGTGAATTTCATGTATGATCGGTTTACTACAAGTATGTATATTATATAGTCACTTACTAGCGAAAAGTTTTTCCATTATTTCACTCGATTTTTGAGATCTACTGCACGCTACACAACCAACTATTTTAGAGTCTTTTTCGATAAATCGCGACAGTGTCACTGTTGAATTTAAGTTCTGCCACAATTTCCATCTAGATTTACTACCTTTATACAACTTTCAGTAGTAGAATAAATAATAAATAAGATAAAATAAGCTCCGTAAAGACTGACAAATCCACAAAATTTCAAATCAAATTCAAATGTGTCAAATGAATCGTCAAACAGAACTGTCAAGGATCCCCACCCTAGAGTCCTTTTTCCGCCCACCATGCATGAATATATGGATAGCATTATTCCGCCACTGGGTTAATGTCAGGGCGCAACCGCCATGAAATACAGGCCTAAAGGCCGTTATACAATTATTGACGATTACAGGAAAAGTAACAGCAATTTTACTTTCCGCAATTAAGTTGCAGTTCACTTTACAGTTAGCAATTTTTATTGAAATAATTTTTTAAATTTTTCATGGGGAATGTCCAACTTTACAGAAATTAAATGATTATCAGCTGTATCGCGTCATTTGTCAATTTTTCAATTTTGGCTTGTTTTTTATTCTTTGTACTTTTTGTATTTTTGTTTGTTCGTTTATTAATAAGTTTTTCTAATTTTCTCCTGATTTTTTTGAGGAGGCATTGACCATTTGACCTCATGGTTAAAGCTTGATTTTCATGCATCCGTTATCCGACGGACGTTAGAAACGGTTAACCAATCGAAGCCTTTAAATTCAGCCAATAAAATGAATATCTTATGATTGTATCGTCGGACAACGGATGCATGAAAATCATGCTTAAGCCGCCACTGGGTTAATGTCAGGACGCAACCGCCATGAAATACAGGCCTAAAGGCCGTTATACAATTATTGACGATTACAGGAAAAGTAACAGCAATTTTACTTTCCGCAATTAAGTTGCAGTTCACTTTACAGTCAGCAATTTTTATTGAAATATTTTTCATGGGGAATGTCCAACTTTACAGAAATTAAATGATTATCAGCTGTATCGCGTCATTTGTCAATTTTTCAATTTTGGCTTGTTTTTTATTCTTTGTACTTTGTATTTTTTGTTTGTTCGTTTATTAATTACAATTAATTAACGAATTAACTTAGCTTATGAAAGAAACTAAAAATATAAATGTGAGGTTATGTGAAGTTGCTGCAACTTTTCTTGTCACAATTAAGTTGCCTCGTCACTGCTAGTACCCAACAATTTTAAACGGGCTAATGTGTATTTTTGATGATTTTATTTTTGTTTTTATTAGAATTCTGTACCGTTACCCACAAAAACGACTCAGGAAAGAACCACAGAACTAAGAATGCAGTTCCCGGTGAGCAGCGGGCAGCAGCACCGCGTCAACGAAGAATGGGTTCCAGTACCAACACCCAAGAAACCAGCCGCCGCCGCCGCTGTCGTACCGGAACCGGTGCCTAAACCTTCAGTGGAGGTACCGTCGTCTGCACCTCTGGCATTGCCACCTCCTTTGCCTGCTGAGGTACCTCTGCCTCCACCTCCATTGCCTAAATCCTTTCCGGATATGAGCGTGGTACCTTTAAATACCATGCCCGGACCCCAAGTTTTTCCTGCAGTTCCTGATGTACCATCAATGGTAAGTTGTCACATAATAGAGAGTATACCAAACGGATTTGAAAGATATTTTTTTATATTAATTTTTAAGATTCATATTTTTTGTTGGATTTTTTATTTCTATTGGTAAATTTTGCCACTATATTCTCCTTAAAAAACAATGAGAAAGTCAAATACTATTTTTATATTCATATTAAAGATCATTATAGTAACCATTTTGACATGTAACTTTGTTTGTACCGTATTATCGAAAAAAAAAACGGCGTCAGCAATTGCTATGAAATGAAGATCGCTCTCATTTTATATGTAATATATGGGGAATATCATTGATCGTCATTTCCAAGCCAACTGGACGCCATTTTTTTGGTCATACGGTACTTCTCTGAACAATTTTGAATTTTTTGGATGTTATCTTCTATTATCTTGTTTATTTTATAATCTGTTTTATAGAAATTCTATGAACCTGGAAAGGCATTGTGTCAGGATTTGTATTACAAAGATATTATGAATTTTGAAAATTGTTCAATAACAGTTACTTGTATAGTGTTCAATTGTTTTCAGACTAACAGTTGAAATTAAATATTCTTTTTAATTGAAATAAATATTTTACTGTCAGTTGTTTGAGTAAAAATAATTTTTAAATGGTGTAGTTTAAAATTTGAGGAAAAAAATAATTTTTTGGAAATAGATTTTTGTTTTTGGAAACGTTCTATCCTTTTTTAAATCTTTTTTTTTTCGATCGTGCTATACTTAATTATTATATCACAACAATAACAACACACTAACGACTAAATATCGATTTCTACTACTTGTATCCGATTTTTACCACCTTTACTATTTAATAATAATTCAAAAAACTGAGTGTTCCCATCTTAACCCATCCATTCCACCAATTCTGATATACAGGGAGTTTTCAAAATCAAATATTGTTTTAATAACTTACTGTGACGTCGTTTTATTTCGGTCACATGATAGTTCTATTGTTTTTTTTAAATTTAATCTTAATGTTATATTTCAGTCGTCGCAAGTGGATATAAGTTCAATAGTTTCCCAAAGATTGACCGCAATGAGAAAACTACAAGAAAATCCTCATGATTCCCAGGCTTTGACAGAAATCTACAGATCGAATAAGGAGGTAATAAAACTAATGCAGTCAAAAGATTCAAATTTAATAATTTATTAATGGTTAAAAAAAACAAATATTTAATACTTTACTATCAGAATATAAACAAAAATAAAATAAAAAAGTCTTTGTCCTGACCCGGATTTGAACTCTGAATCATCGGTTCGTGGTCGGAAACTCTACGCAATGCGCTATGGAGACATGTTTGATTTATATTCAAGTCTTAAAATACTTGTTTTTCCGACGTTGCTAGCTCTCGTACTATAAAGACGGTTTTTAAGTATTCTCCACAGGAAGAGCCGTTCGGCGAAAGATCCTATGGTCTTTTTCTACTCTGACCCCAATAGACGGAAGTCAATGTTTTTTTTTTCTTTAACATGAAGAATATTCAAGGAAAAAATTGAAGAATATTCAAGCAAAATTCTCTTTGCAAAATTTATATGGGATTTCCTATGTCCCATGTTCTGATGTATCACACGGTATGTGAAGGAGCTAATTTATTTTTATTGCAATCGACTTCAGCTCCGACACCGGCTCCGATTTTGCCGGTGCAAGCGCTCTAAAGGCGCACTTTCACGACTGTTCTACTTGGCAAGTACGCCAATATTTGCATACTTGGCAAGTATCCCCACCAGTCCCCACTTTGTAAACAACATCGGCAAGTGTGGCGCTCACACGACGTGTCCATTTCAACAAGTACACCAGCACAAACATTGTTTAAATCCTTGGCAAGTAAACAGTATAGTCGCATCGATGGATACCGGTCGTCCCGAAATTGTCGTTGCTAGTGATTCTTTTTTCTTTTTAAATTCTTTTACTGTACATACACTGCAATACGATTTCTATGTTCTTTATGTTTGGCCATTCATATGAAGGGTTCATTTTCGTATAAATCCATAAATTCCAAAACAACATCATTTGAAGACTACACGGGAAAACCCAGTTTTGTCCATTTTAATAGGAGCCGAGAAAAATGCAATTTAGTGTTTTTAAAGAAATATGTTATTTTCGGTTGAATAATTAGGAAAATATATATTACTACCAATTCTGAATTATTAATATTGTGAATTATCGCCATATTCTGAAATACCGAAATAAAAATGTCAAAATGCAAAACAAAACAGCGGAAAACCAGGGATGTCCAATTAAAGGTTGTATAAAACCTACATCTAAACTATTATTTTTTTGTTGTAGGAAGAAAATTAATATTTAAGTAGGTTTTTATTACAATACATAAATTTATAACATATAATACTAATTGCAAGATGCATGTCGCCCATGCTTGTCGCCTATGTGTAAGTTCATCTCTGGTTTTTGCCATTTACGCGTGGACTACTCTGGTTTTTCCTTTGTACGGCAAAATAACCAAGCTGTAATATCTCTGGGACTAAGCGTATTATTGCTTTCTTTTTTCTCGAATGACGAACATTTGTCCATAAAGTTGTATCGCTATCTTAATTTCTATGAAAATGTGACATATTTTTTTTGCTGTGAGAACGATTCAGGTATGTCGCCAATATTGAAGTTATTAATCTAAATTTAATATTATATAATCTATTATTGTTTTAACATTTTAAATTATCCGCAATTAACTCGAAAAATACTACGATCCGGAAATAAACGGGACATACTCTCTAACAGTACAATTATTTGCGCAGTCGTTTTTTTTGCGCTTCGACAAATATAGACAAGGCTGGCCGAGTACACTTGACAAGTGTACGAATAATTATTGTGATCCTTTGACTCGGGCTATATTTACCAACAGAGAGTGGGGACGCGACAAGTGACCAAGGAAACCGTTCTCACGACATGGCAAGTATATTCCAATAACAAATGTTTGTCAAGTACACCAGTCGTGAGAATGCGCCTTAACGGTGTCGACCGCGACGAAACTGCCATCTCTCCCCTTCCAAGTTTCTTTCTTCGTTTATTTCATGCGTTTGGCAACATATTTACTCTTCTTTCTTCGTTCAGTACGTTATAAATGCATTGTACTCTTCTTGTATACCTGTTTTTGTTTTGCAGGTACAGTCGTGGGCGCAAAGTAAACAGAATTTTGGCCAGTTTACGGGCACAACCGGTGCTCAAATACTGTCCCAGGCAGAGTTATCTTCCGGCTACCAAGCTTGGGCTAAGAAGGTATTTCCTACTTGCATTTATTTATTCATTTTTTCTTCTGAAACGTATAATTCCATAAAAATCAGGTGTCGGAAAAACAGTGTGATATTTTTGTAAATCAAGCAAAGCAAAACCAATTCCAAAATTTTTGTTTTTTTAGAAATATAAAAATATCTTTAATTATACAGGGTACTTTATAATATATGTATATTATATACTTTATAATATCTAAATATTTATAATATAGCTAATGCTTAAGAGCGTTTGTTTTTATTGTGACGTACCTTGTATACAGGGTATTTTCTAAATAAGGTAAAACCTTTTGAGGGGTTGATTATTTCGATGACTTTATGGTAAAGAAGTTATAAAAAGTGTAAATGAATTAGTGAGAAAAAAATCAGGAGGTAATGCTTTTTGAAAAATGAGATTTTATATATAATTGTTTTATGTGACGGCGTTTCCCTACAAGCTTATTTGGATATACAGAGTGGTCCGAAATCACAATATTATCGAATAGCCAAATATGAATTTACTATAAAACTTTTATTTGATTAGTGCCATTCCGTTTTTAACATTGAATTACCTTCTAAATGTTTTCACCCTTATTTATTTACACCCTGTGTAAACATATTTTGGGATTGGCGTAAATTCTGAGCACAGGATGTTAATAACAGGATGTTAATTTTAGACAACTTTTTAGGGTTCCGTACCCAAAGGGTAAAAACGGGAACCCTGTTACTAAGACTTCGCTGTCCATCCGTCTGTCACAAAGGTCTATCTTATGAACCGTTATAGCTAGACAGTTGAAATTTTTACAGATAATGTATCTATGTTGCCGTTATAAGAACAAATACTAAAAACAGAATCAAATTTATGTTTATAAATAAAAAAGTACTTTCACTAAACATTATCTTTTAAGTAAGAATTTTACATAGAATCTTTCAAGTCCTCGGTGGCCGCGTGGTTTAAGGCGTTAGGACTTTACGCTGCTATGACGTTGGAGCCGTAGTAAGGCAGGTTCGAATCCTAGCCAAGGCGACTTTTTTTTAATCGTTTTTTTTTAATTTTTACATATTTATTTTTACTTTTTACATATTTATTATTGATTAATACAATTTTTAGTAATGTGTTACTTCATTTTTTTTTAAATTACTTATAGGCGCATTCAAAATTTCAGCTAAATCGGAAAAAAGTTTATAATAATAAGTGTCTAATGTTGTATAGATAATGAATGGTACGGAACCCTTCGTGCGCAAGTCCGACTCGCACTTGACCAATTTTATTTATATAAAAATAAATACATGCCAGTACTTTATAAGAAGTGTTTCCTAAAGTAATTTGATAAACAACTTCTACAAATGTTTTAGCTTATTTAGTGAATACCCTGTATCTGATTTCAAAGTGTTTTCAAAAAAACTTATTTTAAAACCAGACGGTTTTGAAATAAAAATTAAAAAATCATCTTAAACAAATTTTCAGGTGGGGGTTTTTCGTAGAAGTTTCTTCTAACTTCTCTTAAAATCCTTTTTCAGGCATAAATCATTTCTTGATGATGAGAGATGGAATTTATGCCTGCCAACTAAATTGGATTCTAAACTATTTTATTTTATTTTGTTTAATTTACATACATATACAGAGAGTCAAAAAATATTCATACAACAGTCACTGAAGAAACTAACATTTTGTATAAAAACTTCTATACAATATGGCTGGATATTTTAGTATTTGAAGAAAACAGACTTAAATACGGGGATGGTCTGAAACGTATACGACCTCACAATAATTTGAGTAATGTAATGAAAAAAAAAACGCCATCAAAGACTGGAAATAACAATCGATGATAATTTCGCCTAGGTCAAGCCTTAGATGCCATTTACTTAGCCCATACTCTTTATTTTTTAATGCCGCTTGGCCAAGAAGATTATCATTTATTTTTATATTGAGTAAAAATGATTTTTAAATGGTGTATTTTAAAATTCGAGAATTTTTTTTTGGAAATAGATTTGTATGTTTGGAAACGTTCTATCCTTTTTTAATTTTTCTGTAATTATACATTAACTATAGACTGTGCTCTGGGTCTACAGTTAATTTTCGCTCGATTTTTCCTCCACTTGACTTCAAAAGACACAAAACACACGTAGTAACACGAATCAAAATGCGTCATCTTTCAAAACGCAGATATTTGATATAAGTTGACACAAAATTATAACCTATAATTTGGCAAGACTTTGACAAGTCTCAAAAATCTAAAGGCGAGTTCATACGTCCGTTTGTCGTTCATCGTTCCGTCAAACCAATTAAATTTAAATATGATCTGTCATTTTTGAAATAAACCAATAAAACTGGTTAAAAACAACAAGAGACGACGTATGACGGATTTATATTTAAACCCATCCATAGTTAACTTAAAAAATACTAGAAACTTTTTTTCAGTAAAATAAATAGATTGGTATGGGACGACGCCATCTGCTTTTCCTCTATCATCGTCTCTCGAAATCTTACCTGAGAAAAAAAACAGAGTATATTTTATTTTGTCAGATAAAAACAAGATTTGGTAGGTACATTAGTATATGACATAAATTAGGATTGATTGTCGTTTGGTAACTTCCTGTTTCACTGGAGATGACTACAACTTTTGATTTTTAAATGGCACACTCGGTATATTTTTACTTTATTCGATAGAAAACGACACTCTGTCAAAATCTCGACTTTTTACATTTTCGCTTAAAAAAATTGTACTTTAAGTTTCAATCCAGAGTGCTATGGCTGTGTTAAAAACACTAATTTTTAATCAAGGAGCCTTGGAAAAATAAATTTAATTGTCTAATGTTTTTCGTGTCTTATCTTGGCCGGTTAAAATATGCCTAAATCGTATTTTTAATCATATCTCAATTTTTTCAAATGGAACAAGGGTGGCTCATTAGCATATTTGAAAAATAACATTTTTTTACGAATAATTTGGTACCTGCTTTTCCTACTTTCGTACCTGGTATTTCGAGTCAAATTGTCGTTATGAACCGCATGTTACAATTTCAAATAAATCATATGTGGAAATGTCAAAAGTTAAAAATATAAATATAAGTAAAAAAATACCCAGAGTGTCATTTAGAAATCAAAAGTTGTAATAATTTCCTGTGAAACATAGGAAGTGACCAAAAATAATTGAATACGTCAATTAATGCTAATTTATGAAAAAATAAAAAAAATATAGTAGTGAGCCACTTTTGAGACGCACCCGGTATATTTTACGAAATTTTGTACGATTCAAAACAGTTCTCAAAAATGACAGGTATGAATAAACAGTTGTCTGAATCAACGAGATCGGACATGGTTGGGATATCAACGCTGGGAAGCAACTGCCATTTTTTGCATCATCGACTTTTTTCGGGTTGTGTCGGTCGATCGCGGCGTGTGGTGGCGTGAGGTTCGAAACAGTTTCAAAAAATAACGTAATAATAAAATATGAATCACTAGCTCAATCATCATTACCTTATACTTCAAAGAAATACGCAAATAAATTGCGCATATTATTTTCCATGAATGTTGCTGTATATATGCAGGTCAAAAACTTTTTGGCTATTCTCGTATATTAGCATTATCATCAAATGATTGAAGCATTGAATGTGAATCTCCAGACGAACAAACTTGTTTCTACGAAAATAAACCATTAAGTCAATCTTTGAATTCAATACATCTGCAATTTTTTAGAATCCAATTTAGTTTTGTTTGGTGGAACAGAATCCCGTATTTTGGTCCATGTTCTGTTTCACTAAACGCATCACCTGAGAATCTGTTTCAGGTCAGATTGTTTGACGGAGATTTAGCTATTGGATATACCAGTCGAGTGACATAACCTTAAAAAAACGTTGGTGAGTATTCCTGAGGACATAGGACATCGTATACTGTGACTTTTATCTTTAAAACAAGGAGAAAAAGTTTATTATCTAATAAAACAATAATTGTATACAAACTAAGAGTTTAACTGAATTTAAATGAGGTATGATTACAGGTACCAGAAAAAGATGGCGTCCAGTTGGCTTGGAAATGACGATCGATGACATTCCCTATATAATTTTACATATAAAATGACAACGATCTTCATTTTATAGCCATCGGTGACGCCCTTTTTTTCGATCATATTGTATTATATTATTATATAGGGTATAGGAAAGACATGAGAAATAGAATTTTTTTCAGCAGAGCTTAGAAATAGTGAATAGTAAAAAGTCTTTAGAGAAGTTATAAGTTTAAATAACATAGTATCATCAAAAAATCTTTGTTTTAAAGTTTATGAAGTTAAAAAACAATATTTTTTATCTTTTGAATATGTTTTAAAAATATTTTCTTCAATGTTATTTTTCTGGCTATATTATAAGAAATGTCAAATTTGGTAAAAATTATGTATCTTCGACTATCTACCATCATAATTATATTTCAAATAATTTAAACCAAAAACTAACACAAACTTTTACAACGCGTCTCAAAAGTGGCTCGCCACTAGAACTTTTTTATTTTTTCATTTAAAAAAAAACGAGATTTGGTATGTTAGTATATGACATAAATTAGGATTGATTGACGTATTCAATTGTTTTCGGTCACTTCCTGTTTCACCGGAAATGACTACAACTTTTGATTTTTCAATGGCACCCTCGGTATATTTCTACTTTATTCGATAGAAAATGACACTCTGAATAGAATGACATTTCATTTGTCAACTTTTGGCATTTTCGCATATGCAAAGCCATCTATATTGTCTAACGACAAGCCGTGAAGTACGCAATCCGGCAACATGTTGTTTAGTCCGCTGGTTACGAATTCTGTGGTTAGATTCTTATCGATTTTCCCCAAATTACGAGGTGTAAACAAGAAAAACCACGTAAAAACTCGAGGTGAGTTGGTTGAATAATTTAAACATTTTGTATTCTGTAATCTTGCTTTATAAAAAGTGTTCGTTATTCATATTTGATAAAAATATGATTAATTTTAGATGCCTAGACATTGCTGCATTCCTGGCTGTACCTCAAATTATGCCAGTGCTTTGAAACATGAAGGAATGAAAACCACATTTTCTTTTCCAAAAGAGCAACATATTCGACATGAATGGATCCGTTCAATCCATAGGGACAATTTTAAATTCTCCAATAGTTCTGTAGTTTGCGAGAAACATTTTGAAAAATCCGAGATAATAAGAGTTGAAACCTATAAAAATAAAGAAGGGGTTTTGGGCGAATTCCCACTCAAAAGGCCAAGATTATGCGAAGGTGCAGTGCCGCACATTTTTCCTAATCAACCCAAATACTTGTCAAAACCTCTAACAACTTCTCGAGCTGACCCTGAAACAAGAAGGAAGAGAAATTTAGGAAAATATCAACAGGAAACAGAAAATTTCTTGAAAAGTGACAAAATAAATACTTTTGCTGAATTTCTTGAAACTTTTGAATCAAAAGTGTGTTTGGGACTGTGAAATTTTAAAGTTAAGGATGGGAAAGTTTATTTTTTTCAGCTGAATGTGTGTATTGATGACTTAGACAGTGAAGATAGTGTTAATGTTGCGTCGAGTATCGTTACTGACAGTACATTTACTGTACAAGTATTTATAGGAAACTGTGAACTAACAGTATGTGAGCTGAGATGGATTCTACCTGAGGACAAGAAACTGAGCCGATGGTCACAACTGGACAATCTACTTGCTAGATACAGGTTTTCAAGGCAGGTACCGAAAGAATGTGAGTACTATGTAGACAAAGCATACGCAAATGTTCAAAAAGCTGTAAATTTGTATCAGGATTCTGAAAATTTAAGTATTCTACAATTGATTTCACTTTTAAAATATTGTACCTACTTATAGTAAATTATCGTTTTTTATAAAATCAATAATTACCGATTCGCAACAGTCATTAACACCACTAAATATACTATTTATTTTTGCCTAGGTATTAAATACAAAATTCCAAGGTGATTCACCCCTCGTAGGTTAGGTACTTACGTACCTAAATTGTTGTAATGTACTAGGTAGATAATAGTTATTTTAAGTATTTTGTATCCAATAATAATAATTTATTATTGGAATATGTATATAATAAAAATAAAATGTGTTTTTTTGTAATTCTTGTGTGGTCTCTTTTTTATTCATTTCTCCTATAACAATCTATTTAATGTTTTTAACATTGCCATAACACTCTAGATTGAAATTCAAAATACGATTTTTTATTAAGCGAGAATGTCAAAAGTTGACATATGATATGTAATTCTATTCAGAATGTCAGTTTCTATCGAATAAAGTAAAAAAATACAGAGGGTGCCATTTAAAAATCAAAAGTTATAGTCATTTCCGGTGAAACAGGAAGTGACCAAAAACAATTGAATACGTCAATCAATCCTAATTTATGTCATATACTAACATACCAAATCTCGTTTTTTTATCAGAAAAAAATAAAAAAAGGTATAGGGGTGAGTCACTTTTGACACCGCACCCGGTATATAAGCTTTTCAATATACAGCGTATCTCTTATTAGAGCGAGTATTTTAAATAGTGGTAGGTCTATTGAGAACCGCCGTATCAACCGGCAATCAGTCGGCTTTTGATTTATTCGAGGGCGAGTATTGCCACATGATGATTGATTGATACTATCAATCAAAATATTTTTTTAAGATAAGTTTAAAATCCATGTTCTATCTACCACCATATTTTTTCCAAATAATCAAATCCAAAAACTTACACAGCCTTTTCTTTTCTCTTGTCCTCCCCCCAAAACAGGACCAACTCCAAACGGCAGCTCCGGTATCTGGAGGTATGGGCATGCACCTGCTCCAAAAGATGGGCTGGAAACCCGGAGAAGGCCTGGGTAAAGAGAAAACGGGGACTCTAGAACCTTTGTTGCTCGAAGTGAAGCTGGACAAAAAGGGTCTGGTGGCCGATGAGGAGCAGAAAGGTGGGAAGAAAAAGGTTAAAGGCCAGACGATGAAGACGCTGCAAGGGAAGCATCCGGTGTCGCTGTTGGGAGAGTACGCCTCGAAAAGGAAGCTGGGCGCGCCTCAGTATCTTTTGGAATTTGAATGTGGACCGGATCATAAAAAGAACTTTTTGTTTAAGGTATACAGCTTTGCTATTTTTTCTCTTAAAGTTAGGCAGGCCGTACACGAGCGACATTTTGCAGTCATACCGACCACAATACTGAGGTCTCGTCTCAGCGAACTGCAGCTCATCGTAGTAGTTACAGTATATGCCATGCACGGGAGTCGAGTTGCAGTCGAAGTGGGCATCTGCAGTTCATTTGCGGTCAACCCCTTCGAGTGGTCGCGTTGACGTTCGCGCCGGTACAGCCGTACACGGACAACATCCTGGCTTTTGTAGCCAACTGCAATCGCAATTTCATAAAAAATGTCCTTCTTGATGTCAAAAACTTAAAAGGGGGTGTATCCAAAGCGTTCGTATTTTTCTACGCCTTCTTCTTTTTCTTAAGAGAAGTAACAGCAGTGCTTCGTCCTCAAAAGTCATTTTTAAATTATTGTATGGTGGGGCTATGAGTCCATAACAGTAGTGGTTAAACCGACTGCAGGATGCGGTTGATGGGACTGCAAATCTATTTCAAAAATGTGGTCGAGATGTAGTCGAATGAACTGCAGAAGTTGATTCGACTTGACAGCAAATTGTGGTTGATTAAACTGCAAATATGTGGTCCATGTACGTCTGCTCTTAGATTCTAAAGCCCTATTTTTATACTAAGGGCTGACAAAGGATAGTTTTGTGTCGAGATTTCCATATATAAGAAGGGTACAATGCGTTTACATTGTACTGAACAAAGAGAGAACAGTAAACGCGTTGCCAAATGTATGAAATAAACCGAGAAACTGTGCATATTGCTAAGAGACGTGGAAGGGGATATAGCAGATTTGTCGCAGTTGACCGGTCGACCCAATCAATACCTCTACCTCTGTCAGTACTTAAAGTTCTAGGGAAAGGTGTATGTCATGCGTTCAGCTTCACGATTTAATTACGTCTCGTGATACTTTATTTATTTATTTATTAACTAGTCGTTGTAATTTTTCCTATAGCTTGAAAATGTTTAGGGGCAAGTTAGAAACACTTGCATTTTTGGTAAAAATAAGTGGAGCTGGTGTTCGACAGTGGTCGCGCTATTAGAACTCTTTAAAATTCGATATCTCGAAATCCATTAGGAATAATTGACTGTAGTTTTTTTAAATCTTTCTTAATATTTCTGTTATATTTTCTTCGCAGATAGTATGTGAAAATCTTTATAAAAAAAGTTACACTATGCTGTAAAAGTAAATGGATGGGTTGTTTAAAATTTTTAAATGGAAAAAACAAGCTTATCGATTTTTTCTTATTTAAACATCTTCTAAAAGATCCGATCTTCAAAATAAAAAAGGTTTCAGTATCTAAAGTGGTTCTTAAGTTATGGCGTGTTATGTGTCAAAAAATTGAGTTTTTAAATTATCGCAATTACAACCTAACGATATCCTTATAATTCCATTCCAGATGCTCAGAAATATATTTAATGAATTTATCTAGTTATCTTTTCGAAAAAAAAGTCTTTTAAAAATAAGCGGTTTGTGATCGTAATTTTACTTTACTTGATAGGGAAAGGCGTATCGGCAACGCCGCAAAAGAAAACCGTCGCATTTCTCCCACTCCGACTTAATAAGATCCCTATGCGATTTACTTCCACACATGTAAATACCGACCCAAAAGTAACTGTTGCCAGCACGGTATAAGGGGGCGTCCATAAATTACATGAGGCGTTTTTGAGAATTTTTTCGCAATCTTTTTTAATATAAAGGTTTTGAATGTTTCAGGTGATCCTCAATGGTGTAGAATACAAACCAAACGTAGCCAGTGCCAACAAAAAAGAAGCAAAAGCCAATGCGGCTACCATTGCTTTACAACAAATAGGCCTGTTAGCGTAGACTGATATCAGGTTGTAATTTTCACATTTTTTCTGGAATGATAATCTTAATATTTTTACTGAAAATATAAAAAATGTGTTTTCTTATTTTAAATATGTAGACAAAGTCTATTAGTGAACTTTTTTAATTTGTTATAGAACGTGATTTAAATATATTTTCTATCTTAAAATGTGGTATATTAGTTATCTCTTGTAAATAAAATAAGTGAATTTATATTAGAGTTTCATTTAATAACCTTATATGAAATGCTAAAGTATACTGTAAGAGTCTCAATTTATTTTTCTTTGGTTCAGTGAAAAATAAATAGCCTTACTGGCGTACAGTAGTAAATTTAAATCTCTCGGGCGCCACCTCTGTTCTTTATAGTGCAAGAGGTCCACGTTTCGCCAATACGGGTAGCTTTTATACAGTGGAGATACCAGGGAGTGATGAAATGAAAAGAAATAAAACACACAGTTAACTATAACATAACATTAAGGCTTTATTTAATTAATTAACTATATACTAAATACCCCAGGAAGTTTCACGACTTTAAATTGTAATGAAAGAGAAAGAAAATTTATAATTAAAGACTCGTAAAATAAAATTTACAACAACAATCAAGCACCTCTAGAGTTTTGACCGTATAATCTCGATATGCAACTCACTGTCCGATTTAATCACGCGAATTCAAAGCGCGTTTTTGACATGACGCTCTAGTAAATAAAACGACGCGAGTTTCTTCTAACCGGCGTCTAACTTAACGGCGTCCTAGTAAACACAGACATGTACGTACCGAACGATATACTCTTTTATAACCCGACTTTCTAAACGTCGGCGACGTCGTTACAGACGTCCCGGGATAAACAAACGCGAGCCCTGGATCGTTCGCCGTAGAACGAAACGGCGTCCTGTGGGATAATTACGCACCCGAGCCCTGAATCGTGCGCAGTAGAACGAAACGGCGTCCTGTGGGATAGATACGCACGCGAGCCCTGAATCGGTCGCAGTAGGACGAAACGGAGTCCTGTGGGATAGGTACGCACGCGAGCCCTGAATCGGTCGCAGTAGGACGAAACGGAGTCCTGTGGGATAGGTACGCACGCGAGCCCTGAATCGTTCGCAGTAGGACGAAACGGAGTCCTGTGGGATAGGTACGCACGCGAGCCCTGGATCGTGCGCAGTAGAACGAAACGGCGTCTCGGTTAGTCGCCTGGATAAGCGCAGTCCACACCGCCCGGTCAGGACCACCTCGGGATGTCGGCGAGATCCCACGGCGCTCCTGATGAGAATACGGGAACTACAGAACCAGTCGCGGGATAGACGAGATCCTGCTTTAGTTCCAAGAACATTCGCGACCCGGGTATTTACTGTACTACCTTAACCGCTATCTGTCTCCCTTTTTAATAAAAGAAATCGGTCTTCGCGTCCACGTGATCCGTTCAGCTCCCCTACCTGCTAGAAGACGGTTGGCCCTGAACGAATACAAGTTTTGCCAGCTATTGCGATCGCGCGTTCTAACTATCTCTGTCTCCCTTATCCCTATAACGCGTCAAGGCAGTAAAGTAAACGGTATTAACAATAAAAAAGAATACGACCTACTCTCGATCACTTTGGCGGTGGGTGCTTACCTTATACAATACGGCGGCAGGCGGCTGGCAGCTGGCAGCAGGACACTTTGGCAGGGCACTCCGGACTCGAACTTCACTGTTCACGTGCGACCACACAACTAACTCTGTAGTGCCAGTACTGCCGAGGTACTCGACTACGCTCCCTCCACTCAACCTGCACTGGTAGGGCGAGCGGCGCAAACGTCTCGGTTTCTCGCACCGAACCACGGCGACCAAAACCGATCAAAACTCTCTTACAAAATGGCAATTAAATATTTAACTTATTTAATTCAACAATAGAAACATTAATGAAGTTCACTACAATAATGAGTTAACAATAAAATACCTTGCCTGTCATTATTACAAGAGAATCAAGTCTCTATTATTCTAGTATAATATTAATATAATATACAGGGTGGCCCAGAAATTTTATGAACTTCATTACAATACAGATATTGATCTGTATCTATAATTTCGACAGTTTACACCCAAAAAATGACAGAAAAACAGTCATTCTTCATAAAGATAAAAAAATAAGTCTTATAAGTTAGAGTTAGAATTAGAATCTTAGGGAAATTAGGAATTATTTCTTAAAGGAAAATTTTGACAAACGCCTTCCAAAAGATGACTAAAAATCCCTAAAAATACAATTTACTGGTGAATGATAATCACAGACATTTGTAATTATTATAAAATCTCTCGTTTTACTTTATAGGTGACAGGTATTTTTTGGATAGTAATGAGGTTTTGATTAAATGTATGTAACAAGCATAGACTTAAAATTTAAGTCTATGGTAACAAGGTTTGAAAGCGCTGACTCACTTGAAATGGTTCAATTATGAAAGAATAGGATGGATAAACTATAATACTATACCGTATGATCGAAAAAAACCAGTGACATTCCCCATATAATTGTACATATAAAATGACAGCGATCTTCATGTTGAAATTGCAAAAATTTTTAGAAAGCTGCGACTATTGAAAATAGTTAGCATTAGTATCCCTTATTAGCATACTAAAAGTCCCCATTTGTCCGGTGTGTGCGTCATCAAAAAAAATCGGCCGCCATCTTGAATTTTTGTACTTTTTGGGAAAAAATGTAAATAACTCGAAAATGGTGCGTTATAGCGAAAAACTTCAAGAGGTAAAAATTAAAGAGAATAAAAAACTCAACCAGAATCAATAAAAACAGTTTATTATCATAACGCAGTGATGTACAAAATTTTTTTTGAAAATCGAGCAATTTTTAAAAGGAATCACCGAAATGCAAATTACTAAATTTTTAAGCTTATTAACAAATAACATGGATATTATAGTAAAGGATACATGTGTACTAATAATGTGCGAAAGATGCCTCCACCTTGTCCGGATCGGGGCTGTTTGCACTTAAACCAAGGTATTTTTGTTACCATTTTGTAAACAACTTGTTTTTAAAAATACAGTGACAGTTTCAAAAATTAGGCTACAGATACTGATTTGTTAGTTTTATTACTGCATTTTCGGACAAAAAATTCTATTTTTATGCTTCGGCCTGGAAAATCGTCCAAACCTCACAGAGTAACTGACATCGGTAATATGCAGAACAAGATTGGTGACATGAAGCATTCACTCATATTTGCACATGCTATATGAGGATGTGATACAACCTCATGCTTGTTTAAAAAAGGTAAACTGGTGACTCTCAAAACGTTGCAAAAAGATCCTCATCTGCGACAAATTACATCCATTTTTTTAGATCCTGCAGCACAAAAATCTGAGCTAGTCGAAGCGGAAATACATTCTTATTTTTATTATATGGTCGACATAGGCTAGCAAAAGATTTAGATCAGTTGAGGTATTATAAATATAAAACCCTTACATCTCGTCAGGTACTTAGTAAAAATTTTGATTTAGCTACAGTACATCTGCTGGATCTGTGTCTATGAAAGGAATGCGGACAAAAAACATTTAAATAAACAGCAATATATTTTATACGTCGATTTGACGAGTGCGTCACCGCAAATCGCTCCGCCCACTCATTTTATTGGCGACTGGCAAATTTGTTGAATTTTTATTGATGGGACGCGTCGTCTATTTTTTTACGAAAAACATCGAGAGAATATCGTTTCCCCTCTCACGGATACCCTGTAGCTACAAAACGGACAGACGTACTGTACCTTACCTCCAACAACTAACGCCAGCTGAAAATTATTATTATATATCATTTACAAATGCAGTATTGGCTAAATAACGGAAAAGAGGCAACAGAAAACGGATATTTTAGTTTCAAAAACAACGCCAAACGCAGTGGCACCAGAATTTGTATTGAAAATGATTTACTGTAATTGCAAATCTGGATGTAATAAACTATGTACATGTTTAAAATCCAATATGCCCTGTTCAAGCTTGTTTGGTAACTGTAATGGTATTTCTTGCGACAACAAACAAATCTCGATCGATGAATAACAAATCGAATAAAATTGTAAACTACAGTTTTTTTAGAGATGACAGTTTGAAAAGTTAGGTTACAAGTAACGCATTTTTATTAAAATGGTCATAATTTGAATTATTGTTATTCGATTTATAGGGGTATGTTTATAATGTATTTATCATAATGAAAAAGTGTTAAGATCGTAGATGATATTTATGTCAAAAAGACATTCGCAAGTACTTTACATTTTATTTTTTTCTTCCAACCTGTAGCCTCATTTTTCAAACTGTCACTGTATGTATTTTTAAAAACAAGTAGTTTACAAAATGGTAACAAGGAGACCTTAGTTTAAGTGCAAATAGCCCCGACCGGGACAAGGTGGAGGCTGCTTTTGTACATTATTAGTACCCTTGATTATGTATAAATAGATGTACAATGAGGGCTTAGTACAAGCCCGTCTTCTAGGTGGCGCCTTGCCCGTTCTGAATTTTTGTATTCCCCTACGATTTTCTTTGAGGGGAATCCGTTAAACCCGCCCATCGTTCAAAAATGGAAGGGCGCGAGGTCACATCTATTGGGCTACTTATTAGCACGTTTCACGCATGTTTTACGAAAATAGCTTTATCCTTGTTTGTTTCAACTGTGACAAAGAAAAAAGGAAAAAAAAGTCATATTCGTTTCTAAATTCGGCAGTTTTGTTTATCTTTCTGGACTTCTGATTTCGTTTCGTGTAGGTTATGTCTTAAAAAATAATTATTTATAAGCTTTTTGAGTTGAAATATACCTTAATGCATATCTAAATAATTAAAAAAAATAATTTTTCGTCCCTCGCGAAGAAACGAAACAGTATTTTTTGAATATTTGGATTACAAACTATTATTTTATGAGTTTTATGTGTATGTGTGTTTACGTGATGTGTAATGTGTATTTTGTACCTGCTGGATAATATTTTTGAAACATATTTAATTAAACAAAAAGCATCTGTATTACAGGTGAGTAAATACTGTTCATATTTATTTCTAAATTCATATAAATTTGTTTTAAATCACTCTTGGTTTTAGAGTTTTATCTTAGAGTTTTACCTCATAGAGAGTCTGAGATAAGTTTAATAATAAACATTAAATTTGATAGATTGATAGATAGATTAAACTTGATAATGGCCAGTTGACTTAAAAATTTAAAAAATACTGATTTTATGCTATAAATTATGTTTC